TCTCTCTCTCTCTCTCTCTCTCTCTCTCTCTCTCTCTCTCTCTCTCTTTCTCTCTAGCATCCTTAATGTCATATTGTAATAAAATTTCACGAGAATGTACATCCTTGTTCAAGATTGCGGCAGAAAAAATTCTAACAATTGCTGAATGTTTTATTAGCGCAAATCAAAATAACTCGTTACACATTGTTTATTCGTTAAACTAATAAACTGTTACCCATCTCAAACCATTATTGATCACAGCCAATTTAACAGTGAAAGATTGTTTTGATATATTTGTGCTCGCGAGGATAAGGCCCATCTTGAGAGATATGAAGCATAGATCATCTCAGACCCATCGCCAAGGTTGGGTACCAAGAACTATTGCCATGACGCATTAAATGTATTTAGTGAGGAAGTGGGGACTTTAGTCGGTTTAATGTTAGTCAGTGTCACACTAGCTACTGACAGGTCAATAGTTGGGTGGAGCATTTCTCAGCGTAGTTGGAAACAGACGACGTCACACTTTGAGTGTTTTGGCGAATATTTTTTCTTGTCGTAATTATAAATCTGCGCGTATAAGTTTGTGTGCCACAAATTGTGATTTGAAAATGGCTGAGGAGACCAGCTCCAGACCCAGCCTCTTTACGAGAATGAAGGGATATCTTAAAGAAACACCATTCTTTTGCAAAATTATTGAATTGGTAAAATCGCTCGATATAAATAATTCATATGATTATGTTCGATTTAATTATAAATAATTCTCATATTTCAAAATATACAATCCTTTTTGAGAGCAATAGTTGCGTTCAGCAGAAAAAGCAGTTTTGCAACTGCTGTAAGATTCTTTAATACGATATCCACTTTATAAATTTAGTAAAAAAAAACAATAAGAACAAAATCTTACTATATTAAAGAATTTTATAACAGTTGTAAAGCTGATTTTTTTGTTAAATACAGCCATGAAATAATCATGACGTTATAATTTGAGTCAGTATAACGTATTTTACGATTGTTTTTAGGTAATAACTTATTTCGAATTTTTCTGTAAAATTTTTTTTTGTACAAAATATAATAATTAAATGCGTTACAGGTTCTCTGTGTTATTGCAACAGGATTAGTGACGGGACCATTTCAACAGAATCAGTTTCGACCAAATGATATACATCACATAGCAATATTTCACGTGGCAGTGTGTGGTTATATTTTCATAAATGCAGTTCTTATTATGAGCCATTTCTTGGGCGAAAGATTGCCCAAAAAAACCGTGAGTCAAAAACCAAAATACTACATTATTCGCAAAAAAAATCTATTAGTCGACGTAACATATAAAAAAATCTATATCTATGATCGCCAATGAAAACTAGGTATCTCGAAGAGAATTCAACTAATTTTTGTGTTTCACACAAAAAATTTAGAAAATACACTGAAACACTGAAAATCAAACGCAGAGTTACGTGTATTATTATTTTGCTATGTATTCTCTCTCGCATTTGCTGAAAAAAAAAATTTCCACCAAAAATTTAACTTTTTATTTTTCTGTTGCAATTTTCATGTATTCCCATCTGACCTTGACGTATGATAATCGCGCGCACGTACTAAGTAAAATATTACTACTATTTATCATTCTTTTCTCCTGCAGGCTCTCATTTTTTCGACGATGGGCGCGATTCTCTGTTGCACTGCCGGCCTCATCCTGATTCGTGATTGGAACAATTTCTCAAGTAACCTAATTCATGCGTATCTGCAGGAATACAGCGATCAAACGGTAGCTGCTGGTTCTTTCGCGATCTTAGCAGCTTTAGTATTTGCCATAGATACGTACTTTACCAACAAGAACGATTAATCTCCCACAGATTTCGATCATCGTCGTTGTAAGGAACAAAACGGAACCAATCGGTTCGTTGTTACAATCTTGCTTTATTAAAAGCTATTTTATTTCACTAATTGTTTTTTTTATATTCTATACTGTATCAATTTTCATGAAAAATGTTCTTAGCTTCTTAAGTGTTTTTGCTAATATTATATCTCCGTTAAAGTATCAAGAAAGTGATCATGAGATCATTTTAGAATAAAAATATAAAATTTATCTAAAAATACGGCATTTATAATTGCTTCTTATTAGCACATACAAGCACATTTATTTTATTATATATTTCATTGGAATACACAATACTTACAACGAATAATTAACATAACACTATTTTACACTGTTCTCACGTACTTGCAATTTAAGATAGTGAAATATTTACGTTCCGCTAGTTAGTTTCCCTTCCCTGTACATATGCGGTATACATATCTATAACTATAAGCATTAAATTTTCGTTATACGGGAAGATATTTTAGGCAAACGCGCAAAATACTTGAATGAACATGAATTTTTTGTATAATCTCAAATAGAAAAATTGGGAATTGTACATACTGTTCGTGCAAATTCAAGTTACAGTTTAAAATAAAAATGAAAAACGTTCTATGTCGTTATAGGATTCAAAAAAGCTCTATACAATGACAAAGATATTGCTACCAGAGTTTCAAAAAGAAAGATAAAACTTTTTTTTATCACGGGCAAGAAAAAAAACACATTTTAAATCAAAATAATTTTTTTGCGAACAATTTGCAGAAAGAAAAATGTTTGTAAGATACGACGTTTATCGCTCAAAGATCAAATTTTATATATTTCACGCACAAGATTACCTTCTTCCTGTTAATATTATATTTATTTTCATTATTATACTTATATAAATTGAAATATAAAAATTACTACATAATAAAAACATATTAAATAACTGAATATTTATTCATTTACAAATGCAATCGCTCTTAAAACTTGCAAATAATGCATTCGAAAACAACAGTTACTCTTAAAACTTTATTCTCTGCATAAAGATAATAGAAAAGATTCCATTCTTTAAACACTTTAAAACATGGCGAGCAAAGCAAAATTGATGAAGTTTATCAGTAGTTTTTTCTGAAAATAAAGATATTTCCCAAGCTTTATAAAAGCTAAATCTTGCGAAGAAAAATCTACATGATTGCGCTTTTTATTTTCTAACACTGAGTCACAAGTAATGAAAAGTTTTATTGGCTTTATTATCCCAAAAGGTCATGATTTGGTGGTTTTTATTTGTTTATCGAAATCCAAAAGATGATTCCGGAAAGAATGCAGTCTCTCCTTTTCGAGCAATGGTAGCTTTCACGTATTTTCTTCGCGCGCAAGAGTGTAACAAATTCGACAAATTCCGTTCAGTGTTTCGAGAAATGCAAGGGAAACGTAAAAGTTTATCCGCCAACTATCCAACTAGGAAAAAATCGATGAGGGAAATTTCGTTCCATAATACGATGTAAAAAGAACAGTTCAAGAATGCACATACCACAATCATTTCTTTTTCATATTTTCAATATCAACAATGCAAAGATCTTTTTTTATAGATAAATGTATTATATACTTGAAGTCAATGCTGTAATATACACTGTAAAAAAAATTTACTAAATTTTAATCAATATTTCTTTGAATAGTCCTAGCGAAATATTTAATAAATGTAAACACATATTTATTAGATCCAAAAACCAATTAATTTAATTCAACTATCATTTTTTTATTTATCTAAATATTTATTTACCATAAGTAAATATTCCGCGCTAGTATTATTCAAAGAAATATTTATTAAAATTTAACCAATTTTTTTCTCAGTGTATGTATTTCTCAAAAGCTTTTTCAGATTTTACTCATGCTAGTCTTGTATAAAAAAAAATATTTTATATAGATAAAATGTTTTCAATCTGTATTTATATTTCTTCACTTATGTGTGATAATGTTTTTAAATCTTTGATAAAGAGCTAATAGTATAAAATCGAAATATCATCACAATAACAAGAATACTCTTCTTCCACACATAAATGATACGAATATTTTCTTGATCGTCAGGAACCTTAAAAAGGTGTCATAATAATAAATTTATCGTGATCTCATTTTCTTCGGTGCCGAAAGATTTAAATACCTCGCGTTTTTCCTCTTTCTAATTTGTAAACGCTAATTTTGCACTTAAAATTTTGGAAAATCAAGCTTATAAATCATATTGTACAGAAAAAATAGAGAAAATAATTAATTTATTTTCAAATTTTTTTTGCACAAGTATAAAAAATTTATTTTTATTTAATACAATAAAAGATATGAAATAATTTTTTTCACATTGTAAATTATTCAATTATAATTAGAAATAAAAATATAAATAAAAATTTAATT